CAACAGGAAAAAGAGGTATTCATGTTTTAGATTCAAGACCAAAACTAAATGCCTATACAAATAAAGCTGCAGGTGGAGGATATGAAGATGAAACAACATATCCATTTGTTAAAGTAGAATTTGAAAATATTGATAATATTCATGTTGTTAGAGAAGTATGGACAAATGTTGCATTAGCTGCATTTAGTTGGGAAGGAGAACTTGAAGAACAAAAATTTATGAAATTACCAGAAGTAAAAGAATGGTTCAATCTTATTGAAACAATTTTTTGTAAGTGTTAAAAAAGCAATTAGATATCTTACTAAAGGAGAAAGTCTTTTAATTCATTGTTCTGATGGATGGGATAGAACAAGTCAATGTTGTTCATTAGTAGAACTATTACTTGACAAATATTATAGAACATTAGAAGGATTTATTGTTTTAATTGAGAAAGATTGGAAATCATTTGGACATCAATTTGAAAAAAGAAGTGGAATAGGAGTTGTTTGTCCTCATGGACAATACTCTCCTATTTTCTTCCAATTTTTAGATTGTGTTAATATTCTAATACATCAATTTCCAGATGATTTTGAATTTAACGAACAATTTCTTTTAGAATTAAATGATGCTATATTTTGTTCTGATTTTGGAACTTTCATGTTTGACTGTGAAAAGACAAGAAAAGAAAGTGGTGTTGAACTTCAAACACCATCATTTTGGGAATATGTTGTTGGACAGAAATGTAAATTTATTAATCCAAGTTATAAAGATGAAACAGAAGAATTAATACTTGAAGACAAACAACCAAAATTAATTCTTTGGACAAAATATTTCACAAGATACAAAATTAAAATGTCACGATGAATTTAAGGTTATACATCACAAATAATTAAAAAGAGATTTTATATTTGATTGTTTTAAGGTTTTAATAATGAGAAAAATAAAAAGTCACCTCTGAAGAAAACTGAAAATAGGAAAAATTCCAAAAATACAAGGAAGGAACTTATAAAATAACGTAAGGAACTATGAAGTTCACCTTCAGTAAAAAAGAAGAAAGACACTATTTAAAGACTGACAAAAACTGAATTGAACATTCAATAAATATGGGAGACGAAGAAGTTCAAGCACTTGTTGTAGATAATGGATCAGGAATGTGTAAAGCTGGATTTGCTGGTGATGATGCACCAAGAGCTGTATTCCCATCCATTGTTGGTAGACCAAGACACGTTTCAGTTATGGCTGGTATGGGTCAAAAAGATGCTTATGTTGGAGATGAAGCTCAATCAAAGAGAGGTATTCTTACACTTAAATATCCAATTGAACACGGTATTGTTAACAATTGGGATGATATGGAAAAGATCTGGCATCATACTTTCTATAATGAACTTAGAGTTGCACCAGAAGAACATCCAGTTCTTTTAACTGAAGCCCCAATGAATCCAAAAGCTAACAGAGAAAAGATGACTCAAATTATGTTTGAAACATTCAACACCCCAGCTATGTATGTTGGAATTCAAGCTGTTCTTTCATTATATGCCTCAGGTAGAACTACTGGTATTGTTATGGATTCAGGTGATGGAGTTTCACACACTGTCCCAATTTATGAAGGATTCTCACTTCCACATGCTATTCTTAGACTTGATCTTGCAGGACGTGATCTTACTGATTATCTCATGAAAATCTTAACTGAAAGAGGATATGCTTTCACCACTACTGCTGAAAGAGAAATTGTCAGAGATATTAAAGAAAAACTTTGCTATGTTGCTGAAGATTTCAATGAAGAAATGCAAAAAGCTGCATCAAGCAGTGAACTTGAAAAGAGCTATGAACTTCCAGATGGACAAGTTATTACTGTTGGAAACGAAAGATTCAGATGCCCAGAAGCCCTCTTCCAACCATCATTCCTTGGTATGGAATGCAATGGTATTCATGAAACTACCTACAATTCAATTATGAAATGTGATGTCGATATCAGAAAGGATCTTTATGGAAATATTGTTCTTTCAGGAGGAACATCAATGTATCCAGGTATTAACACCAGACTTGAAAAGGAAATGATTCAATTAGCACCACCAACAATGAAGATTAAGGTTATTGCACCACCAGAAAGAAAATACTCAGTTTGGATTGGAGGATCAATTCTTGCCTCACTTTCTACATTCCAAAACATGTGGATTACCAAGGAAGAATATGATGAATCTGGACCAGCTATTGTCCACAGAAAATGCTTCTAAGCGTTTTAATTTACTTTCTCATTTGATAAGTTTTAAATTAATGTTTTTAAAGAATAAGAAAATAAAAAATGGTAATAAGATAAATTTGGTTTTAGATATTATTTTAATTATTCAAGAGAAAATAAATAGTGTTATAAATAACAAATAATAAAATAGAATCAAAAAAAGAAAAAAAACACAAACCTCAAATATAAAAAAGTTCAATGAACTGAGAAAAAAATAGAAAGAGAGTCAAAAAGAGAAATGATGAATAATTACATACAATCATATTGCAAATATGGAAGAATTATAAGATATATTAATCTTCTTTCTAATGGAACTATTGGTTCTCAAGAACTTCTTGAAGCCATTGATTATACAGAATTAACTAAGAATATTGGAGGATTTGCACGATTAAAAGAAGCAGTTTCATCAACACTTCCATTAGATGAACCAGAATGGAAAAAAAAGATAGGATATTCATTATTTGAACAAGTTAAAGCATTAGAAACAGAAATACAAAGTACATATGGAGATGAAGAGAGAGCTAAATTATTATATAAATTATCAGACATTCATGAAGAACATGGAGAATATAGTAAAGCAATAAAAAATGTTCTTCAAGCAGTTGAGAGTTTAAAAAATAAAATGATGTGTGCTGAAGGATATTATCGATTAGTTAGATTAAATATATTTAATGAAAACTTTCATCAAGCAACTAATTTTTTAAATAAATTACAATCATTAGATGCATTTACAGGGAATTTATATACTAAATTTATTAATATTATTTCATTTTTATTAGCAATTAGAAATACTGAAACATTTATAACTGCATTTGAATTATTAGATAAAGTTACTACATTTGATGAAAAAGATAATTGGGAATTTGGTGAGTTTTTAAGTTTTCAAGACATTGCTATTTATGGTACATTAATTGGATTATTAACACAAAAACATCAAACAAATGTTATTCATTTAATTAATAATTCAAAATTCAGAAATCATGCAGACACTGTTCCAGAATTAGTAATATTATTAGATGATTATAAACAAAATAAATTTTCAAAGATTTGTAATGATGTTCAACAACTTGAAAAATATTTCCAATTCAATTTATATTTTAATCAAAGTATAAATAATGTAATTAATTGTATTAAAAGAAAATGTTATATTGAATATATCTTTGCTTATTCTGTTGTAGATATGAATGTTATGGCAAAAATGTTTGGAGATTCTTTAATGACAATTGAATCTGCATTAGAAGATTATATCTATTCTGATGTCATTAAAGCTAAGATTGATGCAGTTACTCATACATTAAATTTCGTTGATGGAGATGAAAGATATCATGCTTATGAAAGTGCATTAAATGCTGTTACAAAAGCAATTAATTTATCACAAGAAATTGTTTTGAAATCAGACGCTATGTTTGATTTCTAAATAAAAGAAGAGAAAAAGCATTTGAATTGAATGTTTTTTTTTTAGAATAAAAGAAAATTTAATTAAGAAGTTCTTTACTTTCACAGCCAGGACAATTATATAACACATCATGTATAAAACTATCACATTCATCACAATAATATTTTAAACATTTTTTACATTGATAAACATTAACTGTTTCTTCTTCTTTTTTTTCTATTCTATCATCAATTTCTTTACCACATCCAAAACATTTTTCTTGTGGTTTTATCATTGCAATAACTTTAAATGGTTCAATTGGAAACATAAAATGATAAGAACGTGCAAAATGATGTGAAAGAAGTAAAATAGCATTACATATTTTACATTGAATAGGTAATTCACAATAACAAAAACCACAAATAGGACATTCAAAATGATTTATATCAATTTTAGAATGACACTCACATATTGTTGGTACATTTAATTGTTTTGGAAATCCAATATATAATTGTATAGTTTTAGGTTCATATGCATTTTCTTTATATATTGGTGGAATAATAAATGTATGTAAAACATCTTCAGCATGTTTTTCATTCATTATTGTATGATAATCTCCACCTGTAACTTTAGTTAATAATCTTGTTATATGCATTTCTGGTGCAAATGAAATTACTGAACATCTAATTGTAGTTTTTTTTAAAGTTTCAATAGTATCATAAATATTACCAGGATCACATGTAGTTATAGAAGATGTTACTATAATAATTTCTCTTGAAGAAGAATTAGAAGTAGTGGATAATATTTGTTGTGCTAAATCAAGTGATATTTGTAATGACATTTGTCCTTCACAATTTCCCCATTTCATTTCTTTTTGAATTATTAAATTTCTAGACAATGGAAATTGTTGTTCAGCTGTTTTATTTCTTGTACAAATTAATCCAATTTCACTTAATGGATTATCAATATAAAATTCTTCAAAAAATTCTTTAAGTTCTTAAAGTATTAATTTTTCTTTTGACTTTCTCTTTCTTATGAAATAAAAAATAAATGAAACAAAACTTGTTTGGATGAATGTAATTCTATTTGGTTGATAATCTTCTTGATTCATACTTAATGACATGTCAATAATAAAAATTACTTTTCGTTGTAATCCTCTACGTGATCTGTTTTGTTGTTTAAATTCATTCATTCTATCCCAATTAAGCCATTGATGAAAAGAATAATTAATTTCTTTTTCTTGTTGTTTCTTTTCCATTATATCAAAATTGTAATTTTTAGTTTTTATTTTAAAAGCATTTACTGAAGAAGATTAATTCAATTATTCATTCAAAAAAGAACTTCAAAAATTATTGTTTTATTTAATCTATGACTACCACAAACTCAGAATTATATAAAAGTTGTGTTTTTGAAATAAACTCTATTGTTCATCAATTAGATGCTTTAATTGATGTAACAAAAGAATATGGTGAATATTATCAAGGAAGAGGTACTTTAGAAATAGAGTATGGAAAGAAATTATTAGGATTAATTACATATGTTAACACTCCATCATTTGGTAAAGAAGATTCAAAAAAATTTCTTCAAACGTTTGTTATTTCATAGAAAGTTCATAAAGAAAATTCACTTATTTCTTTGTAGTGGAATGAAAAGTTATTTTGAACTTTTAGACACCTCTAACACTAAAAGAGTTGAAGAAAAATATAGTGTAGGAAAAAAACTCCTTGAAGAAGTTGCTACTCCATTGTTTTCTCTTGCTAAAGAAATTGATACTCAAAAAAAGAAAATTGTCAATGAAGCAGTTAGAAAAGTCAAAATATATGAAGATGTTGCTTCCTTTGCTTTAAGGTGTGAAGGTCATTATCTAAATGTGCTCAAAGACATGAAAGACCTTACTAAGAAAATTAATGAAACAAATGACTCAAAATCAATTCCTAAATACAATAAAATGAATCAACAATATTCTATTGTTAAAAAAGATTATGAAAATTCAGTTAATAAAGCATCTGAATGTTATGATTTATTATATGGTCAAGAAATGGTTGAAACAGTGAGACAATGTTATGAATTAATGACATATCATAATGATGAAATCATAAATATCTTTAAACATGCTCATCAAATATATTTAAGTATTGGAATTAATGAAACAGAATTTAATTCAGTGATGTCAGATGGAATAAAGACATTAGACAATAAGACAGATGTAAAAGAATTCTTTGAAAGCATTATTGGTCATAATGAGAAATCAAAAGTCATATTAAAAACAGAAGAGTTAGCTCCTTTACAAGTTGAAGCACCGAAAGAACCACAAAAGAAGTGGGGGTTTGGGTCGATTAAATCGTCCATTGTTAGTGGAGTGTCATCACTAACTACAATGGTAAACGAGTCAATACAAAACCCATCCACTGGACCAAGTGCAAGCTGGACTAATCCTGTATTAACAACTCCAATATATTCATTTGGCAAAAAGAAAGAGTCAAAGAAGGAAACTCATGACTCAAAAGAAGAAATTAAGGAAGAAGTTACTGACATAAAAAAACAAAATGAAGTGACTCAAGAAGAAAAACAAAAACAAGACAATCAAGAAGAAGGAAATATAGTTGTTGTTGAAAAAGAAATTAAAGTTGAGGGTGAAGTTGTAGCTGAAATGGTTTCAAATGAAGTACCTCAAATAGTTGAAGTGAAAGAAATAAAAAATGAAACAATAATTCCTGTTAAAGAAGAAAAGAAAGATGAGGTTGTTTTAGGAAGTACAAGTATTATGGAAGATATACTAACAAAAGAAGAGAGTGAGGATAGTGAACTTGTTGTTGTACCAGCAACAGATAATGAATCAAGTAAAGAAGAAGACGATGATGATGAGGAAGTAGAGGAAGAAGAAGAACCAACAAATACTTTCATTTAAATAATTTAGATTTTATTTAGAGTATTAAAGAATTATACTTGTATTATAGATAAGGGAAATCAATAAGACCTAAGAAAATAAAAAGAAAAGACAATAACATTAATGATAGTAATTCATAAGAAAGTAAATAATAATAAGAATTAAACTCTCTTAAATTTTGTTTCTAAATGATCTAATCGTTTGAATAATTTCATTGCTTTCTCATTATCTAAATGCCCAATAAGATTATCTTTACATTTAGAGTTAGAATTCTTAATTAAATTCACACCACTAATAGTAAGTTGATTAAATTCTTTAGATAATTGACTTTCAACATTTTCCATTTGTTTTTCAAGTGGTTTTAATTCACTTACTTTTTTAATTTGTTTAATCTCTTTCTCAACTTTATTAATTTCTGATTTGACAATATTTTGTTTCTTAATATTTTGTGTTGACTTCTTTAAATCTTTTAATTCAGTAATAGTTTTTTTCATTCCATTCTTTAATGTCTTCCAAACAAGTTTTCTTTGTTGTTTGGCTTCTTTTAAAGCAGCCCTCATATTAACAATTTCATTATGTGCATTAACAGCAGTTTGATTAAGACTTTCCATAACTTGGAATTTACATAAAGTCTTACCACTAAGTTGTTTTAATTGATTATTCCATATTTTCATATATTCACGAATTTTATCAGCAATCGTTTGTGCTTCAGTAATTTTAACATAAAATGTTTTCTTTTGTTCATTAGCAACTTCACGTTCAACTTGAGTTTTTTCATTAGCCTTTTCAATGGCATCACGAACATCAAGTTCAAAAATAATCTTGTCTTCCTTTGCTTTTTGTTTCTTTTCTTTATCTAAAATAACCATTACATTCTTATATAAATCAACTTTCTTTTGTAATCCTAACTCATCAATAATATGTTGTTGATCAACTAATGGAAGTGTTCTTAAAATATCTCCCATTTCTTCTGATAATCTTACTCGTTGTTTCTTTAATTTTAACATAGATAAATTTAAGTCATCAACTTTCTTTCTAATATCAACCAAATCATTAGGAGCAGCTTGTTTCTCCTTCTTGGCATAGTCTAATATCCGTGCATAAAGTTGTTTTTCTCCATCAAGAGTGCTTTTGTATTGAGAATCAAGTTGTCTACAAGCCAATGTAGCAGTACTAATAAGTAATTGTCCAGCTGTTGGAAGGAGTTCTATATGAGTGTTAACGTTAGTTTTTTGAATAGGATTTGGATTTGGTCCATTTGAAATTGGTGCGTTCAATTGAAGTTCTGGAGTTAATGGAATAACAGGTGGATGAGGGACTGGTTGTTCTGGTTGTCCATTGACTGGTTGAGATCGAACAATAGCCAATAATAAAACAACAAATAACATTTGCATTTTTATTTTTTTGATATTATGACTTTTTAAGTTCTTGACTTTTACTTCTTCTTGTTTTTCAAATGTGTTTTTCCTAAATAATTTTTGAGTTTAAAGGAAAAGTGAGAAAGTTGAGAAAAGAAGTAGAAAATAAGAGGAATAAGGGATAGTGACAATAAGTTGTATTATTATGAGTACAATTAAAAAATGAAGAAGAACAGAAGTAAATACTTAGAATTGGAAAAGAATAACAGAATTTTGTTTATTTAAAAAGAGACGAAAAAAAAAACTATTTGATATAAGAAAAAATAATAAGAAATAAAATCAAACCCTGAGAAATAATAGAACTAGAACTGTATAGGTTAAGTGGTGAATCAATGGCCGGAACCAAGAGATATACAACTGCTTTCCATAGACCAGCTACAAAGAATGCTGCAAAAGCACCAAAATATCCAAGATCACTTAAAGCTAATAGAAATAAAATGGACGAATTTTCCATTATTAAATTCCCACTCGCTACAGAAACTGCTCTTAAGAAAATCGAAGACCACAACACTCTTGTTTTCCTTTGTGAACAAAAAGCTAATAAGACTATGATTAAGAAAGCTGTTGAAAAGAGATATGGAGTTAAAGTTATTAAAGTAAATACCCTTGTTAGACTTGATGGTCTTAAGAAAGCTTTCGTTAGACTTGCACCAGATGTAGAAGCTATGGAAGTTGCTACCAAGATTGGACTCTTCTAAGAAAATGGTTCTATTGTGGTTTTTACTCGTTTTTTCTTTGATAAACTTTTCATTCTTATCTTTTTATTTCAAAAGTAATAAAAGTTGAAATATAAATTAAAGAAAAAAGATTGAGATAATAAAAGTGATAATTTTGTTAAAAGTTTTTGTATAAAGACATAAACTTGAATTGATTATTTTAATTTCTATTTTTCTATGATGGCAAGTTGGGAAATTGCTATTCAAGAAATTCAAGGAACAATGGGAGAAAGAAGTCAAGAGTATTTTCAATTATTACGTAGTTATTTATTATGTCAAATTAGTAAATCTGAATATACTGAACAACTTTATGGAATTTCACAAACATTTCCTACTAGTTTGTTTTTAATTTCAATTAATTGGTTTATGATAATTAAATAATTCAATTTTCTAGTTATTCAATTAAATAATAACTTATTATCATCTTTATTATGTAAAAATGGTATTGAACAATATCCAGCACAAATTATTCCACCCGTTTCTATATCTCCTGATGATGCTGCATTTACTTTTTAAACAAGTCAAAATACTATAGTTTTACTATTCAAAAACTAAAATCATTTAACTTCTCATTTTTTTTTTATTATAAAACTCAATTAATTAAATTTTTGAGTTTTTTGGTTAAGAACTAAAAATGGATAAATAATATCAAATGAATAAAATTGGATTTTCGTTGTTTGTACAAGTATTTAATGGGACTTCAGATGAATTAAAACAAGTTATTAATCAATTTAATCCAGATATTGGTATTATTCATATTGAACAAATAAGAAATTATAAATTTAAAGTAACAGTTCAAAATACAGAACAAGGAAGAATGTTAATGAATTTTAATGATTTTTTATGGAATGGAAGTAAAATGGTTGTTACATTTGAACGAGAACCACCAAGAGAACAACAATATAAATTTGTATTAGAACAAATAAAATATAAATATTGTAATATTAAAACACGTTCTTTAGACCTTTCATTTTTTATTAACAAATTAAAAGAATTTGAATATAGATCAACTCAATCATTTGACATTCTTTTAAAGGATGCATTAAATTATTATTATCAAGATATTCCTGATCTTTTATCATTAAATTTAAGTAATAATAACATTAATTTGACAACATTCTTTGATGAAATGTGTCATGGATTTAAAGAACTTACTTTATTAGATTTATCAAATAATAAAATTACAAATTATATGTGTTTGGGTTGTCTTAAAAATATTCCATTAAGAAACCTTTGTCTTTTAGGTAATCCATTACCACAAGTTGATTCTCTTTTTCTTATTCATACATTTCCTTTCTTAGAAATATTCAATAATAAATTATTTGAAAGATATAATTTTAATTGTACAATTAAAAGTAATGTGAATACTCTTCAATATAATACTATTCATCCTTTAAATCTCAATAAATTTGAAAGTATTTATAATTTCTTTGATACTTATTTCAAATTTCAAGATAATAATATAGAGTCATTGTCACAATTATATTCAACATATTCTTATTTTGATATTACTCTTGGAAAAGGAGTTCAATTGGTTGGAGTTAATTCAAGAAATATTATTAATTTGAATGCAATTGATACAAAAAGGTTTATTCAAAGTGGAACAAATCAAATTATTAATGGATTAAAAACTCTTGGAAAGACTAAACATCGAATATCTGACATGTGTTTTGATATTGTTGAACAAGGAGTATTTTATGTTTGTTTATTTTATATAGAAATTAATTTATATTCATTTAATAGATAATTAATATTATGGGACAATGTGAAATTAGACAAAACACTTTACAATTTTGTAGAACATTTATTGTTAATACTGAAAACCAACAATTAATAATAGTAAATGATCATTTACATTTATACAATAATTCTAATAAATTCATTGTAATTAAAACATTTTCAAAATTTCTTAAACATATAGTTCATTCATTTCCTGGAATTAAAGAAAAACAGGCATTAATAGTTTTAGAAAAGAATAATTGGGATATGAAAAAAACTGAATCAGAGATATGTAATTTACTTCATATTCAACCTCTTACAATGAAACAATTAAATCCAATGAATAATCTCGAAGGAATTGAGGAAAATGACATTGAACATCTTAATGAAGAAAATATCTCTAAACTTGTAGAATTGGGATTTTTAAGAGAAACAGCTATTCGTGCTTTAATTTTATCTGATGGAAATCTGGAACTTGCAGCAGAGAGACTTACTCAACAACAAGACTCTTTTGTTTTAGAAGAAAATAATGATGTTTGGAATCAACAAGATGAAGAGAATATTCAACGTTTGATTGCTTTAGTTCCAAATAGGGAAGTTTGTATTTCAGCCTATTTACAAAATCATAAAAACTGTGAGCGTGCAGCAGATTCTTTATTTCAATGATTGTTTTTGTATTTCATTTAATATTTATTTTCAATATCATTTGAATAAGTATTTCATTAACTTTTTAGTAATTTATACATTGTTAATAAAGTTATTTTATTGTCGACTATTGTTATTAATCCTAAAGAATAAAAGTTGTGATTTATTTTATTGAAATCACATTATTGTTTAATACTCTGTCAACCTTTTGTTTTTATAGAGAATGAACAAACGATAATGAATTATTGCATTGAAATGAAATGTTTTTTTTAGAAAGTGTTAAAGTATTGGTGTAGTTGGTATAGACTGAATATTCTTAGTAATTTATCAATATTTAATAATTTATTAGCCTAGAAGAATCAAAAAATGAAGGAATAGACATGATAATAGAAATAAGTAAAATAATTATTGTAATACACTTCATTATATTACATTAAATAATTATTTAGTATTTGTGTATATTTCATAAATTAGTTCATGTCTAATTAGTATATATAAAAATGTCTTTTTGATGAAATAATGTAAACACTCTCTGAAATAGTTTCATTAAACGTACAACAATAATAAATGTTAAAATTAAATAAAAATGATGAAGATTTGTTGTGTAAATACGATAAGTTCAAAATGACTATTTCATTAATAAAAAAATAATATCAAAGAAGTGAAATTCTAATCATCCATTTTCTATAAAAAAGAATATATGTTTTAGACAGTTAAAATCAATTAAACTTTTATTATCATCTCTTTTTGATTTATTTAATAACTTACGAATGAGTATTAAGTTTAGTTAGTAAATGGGTTTTATTGTGCAATATCCTGTTTCATTAATACAATGTAATGGTCTGTCTTCTTCAATAACTTTATTCAACTGATAAAACTCACCATCAAATGCACATGGGTCGACGTATGCATCTACAATTTCTCCAAAAATCAATCGTGATTGCAACTCACACTCATCTGCAACCATCACAACCTTAGACACTTTCATATGTAGAACAGCAATAGACTCACAAATAGAAAGATTACGATACTGTTCATTCCCTAAATTTTCTAGATGGAATGAAGTATGTGCAAATTTATCAATAACATCTCCATGGTTCATTCCAAAATATACAATATCTTTTTCTGAACGAGTTCTTGGTACATTAATACAATAATATGTGGATTCTTCTATTAATTTTCCAGTATTTGAAAATGCACCAAATAATACTGCGATGTGTTGTTTGTCAGTTGGCATTACCCATTGTGCAGACATTCCCGTAACTCGATGATTGTATTTATCATACACAGTTGGAATGACAATACAATGTTCATTAATTAGACGTGTAGCAAACTTTAGATTGACTTGTACTTTAGTCATTACAAAACACTTTGTTTTATTTATTTTTCTTTTTAGCTTTTTAAGTATATAAATAACAAAGTGGGAAGGTATGAATAAATAAAAATAGATAACATTATTTTTATTTTGAAAAATGTTATTATATAAATCAACAACAAAAGAAATATAAGTAAGACAGGAGAAAGCTCAGAACTACCAAACAAAATATACAACTTATTTGTTGTTGATGAAACCATATCTGACCAATTTATTTTATTTTATGATACATAAAATCTGCCATTTCTTAACACTTTTTAAGACTAATATTATTCGGTCAATTCGACTTGTCAGAACAAGTTATTGTAATTATTGTATTGGTTGTTGTAGTGTTTCTGTTGTATTTGTCATTACTTGTACTCTGCTTTCTATACTATCAACAACGCCATTAGTTTATTTAAGACTTTCTGAACAGAAGAATGGTCAAATTGATATGATAATCACACCATCTTCAGATAGTGGAGGTATTGTTCTTAATTTTACTGAGATTAATAAAGTTGTTCATACTGCTACTCCACGATGGATTGGTTCAGCAAAATTCTTTAGTGGTGATTGCTCTTTTGGTTTTGAAGAAAATGATAATGACTGGATATATTATGGTAATAGTTCTGACATTCATGAGAATTGTGAATTGGATGAATGTTTCACAAAGTATTGTTCATCATCTCGACACGTATCTGGTAGTCTTATAGCCTTGAAGACAAAACAAGAGAAACAAATTGGTTTAGGAGAGAAATGGGGATTTGAACCATTAAAAGAAAATGAGATTTATCTCCCAAGAAGAATATCCAACCAATTACTATTAAAAGAAGGAGATGAATTGTATGTTTCTATTAGTAATGAAACAGTCTACCCTCTATTGATTGAATATCATGATATTATATCAAACCAATACCTTAATAACTCTGAACCTCCAAGACATTTCATACTTAAATTAAAACTTAAAGGAAGTTATGATTCTGATGAAGGTAAATTTGGAGGTAAAGAACAAGGAATATTAGAATTTGATTTCTTTATTAAAACAATTCAAAGTAATATTCCTAGACATCTTACTAATCTTAATGATTATCTTGATAAACTAAATATGAATGAATATTGTGACCAAATTATTGTTAATGTTCCAACTCCACGAGAAAAGTATTATTTAAGTAATGATTATAATAACTTACAAAATGAAGTTACAACATATCTTTCTAATGTATTACTTAAATTGGGGTATCAAGACTTACAATCCTCAACACCTGTATTATCTGAATTAAGTCAATATAAATATGTTAATGTAATTTTAGGGATGATTGTTGAAATTGCAATTATAGTATTGTTAGTATTATCTATACTTTTAGTTCATTCATTATTAACAATTAATATAGAATCTCAACAACACTCAATTAGAATTCAAAGAACAATAGGAGCAACACGTCTTAATTTAACATTCCAACTATTTGTTAATTCATTATTTTATGCAATCCCATCTCTTATTACTGGATCAATATTATCAACAATTATCTTCTTTTTTGTATCTCTTATTACAAAACCAATCTTTTCTATCCCTATCACATTTTTACCATCAACAAAAGGAATATTTGTTGCAATCTTCTTAACATTCCTTGTTCCTATTATTTCTATAATATTTCCATTATACTCTGTTCTCCATCGTACACTCACAACAAGACCATCTACAGTATTAGAAATTACAATCAAACGAAGTAATACTTCTTATTTTTCACCATTAACTGTATTTATAGGATTGTTTACAACATGTTTTGGATTTTCAACATATATTCTCTTACCAAGATCAATACTCGCTTTAAATTTATCAACTATGTTTACAATATTTTCTCTACTAATCATCTGTTTATTAGTTGGTTCAATATTACTGATAATAAATATTATACCAATAATAGAAAGACTTTTATTGTACTTATTTTACTTTTGGGATACAGCTGGACTATCACTAACAATTAAAAATTTACTTTCACATAAAGCAAGAAATAAAAAAACATCTCTCTTATTTGCTCTTTCTCTTGGGTTTATTCTCTTTTTTTATTCTTCCTTTACATCTGAAATAGGAACACTTTCACAAACAATTATTAAATCTAAAGGAACAGAAATGTATATTGTTGGTCTTAAATCTAAATTCAATACTACACAAGAACTCAATGAAGCAATGAGAAGTGTTATGGAAAAAGCAGAAGGTTTAGAAGAAGTTCTTGGAGTTACTCTTGACTTTGATGGAATTGATCAAGTTCATCCAAAATATTTTGGTATGTCAACACTTGGACAAGGAGTTATTTTGAGAGAAAATTATGTTGCAATATTACCCACTACATTTGAAGTGATGAACCAAAAGTTCTTAAAAGTAAAACATCGAATGAATGTTGAATCAGTAGGAGATATGAGTGATAGTTCTATTGGTAAAATTATGTACACCTCAAATGGACTTTATAAAGTTATTATGGGAACTAATATAAAAGAACTTTCATATGCAGATGATAAACGTCTCTTAGTTTGTGCAAGTACAAACCCAGAAAGAACAAATGTTCTTGGAGTTATGGGATTATTTACTTATGGAGTAGAAGCATCAAGCACTCCTAAATACACTCTTAGTGATTCCCCATTATTAACTTGGCAAGACCTTTTAATTTCTCTTCCTGAATATGTTAGATATACAAATGGATATATTACAAGTATAGATGAAATACCAATTACTAGAATTTATTTAAAGTTAATTGATTCTACTGAAGATACTGCTAATAAAGTAAAACAAAAATTAGTTACTTCTAAATTTGATGCAATTATTGTTGCATCTGAATTAAGTGGAATTAGAACAATTCAAAATATTATGGTATTTTATTTTGTATTTGTTACAGTTGTTGCTCTTGCTACAAGTTTCTTTTCTATTCTTTCATCAATGTACAGTAATATTGAGGAACAAAAACATGAAATTGCTGTATTACGTGCAATTGGAGTTGGAAGATTTTTATTATTACGAACTTATCTTGCTGAGTCGTTTGTTGTTATTTTCTCTGCTTCACTCATGGGTATGATTATTGGTTCTCTTATTGGATTTACTATGACATTACAAATTATTTTATTCACTCAAACTCCAGTTGAATATACATTTCCTACTCTATTATTAATCATTGTAGTTATTAGTGCAATATTATTTGCTTTAATATCTACAGTATTACCATTAATCCCTGTACTCAAAAAACAACCTATGGAATTATTAAGAGAAACAAATGAATAATTTAAGTCAATCATTCTTCAATATTACATCTTTAAATTTATTCTTAGAAACATGTTTCCTTTCTCTATTATTACAAGAAGAAGTAGATTCAATTAATTTTTCTTGTTCAGAACACCATGAAAAGATACTCTTCCATGAAACTCCAACTCTTGTATCATAATATTCAACTTTCACTTTACCTAATTCTCTTTTTCTTTCCATTTATTATTGATAAATATTTAGTTTTCTTTAAATATTCCTCATGAATTTTTTATGTTAATCGCTAACCAAGCAATGTAAACAACTTCTATGACTTTATCATCTTATACTTTATTAGTATAACTATTAGTTAAATCTAGTTTTTGTTATTGAACGAAATTATTTATCTTTCTTTCTTGTGCGTCTCGCTTCTTTTAG